TGGGAGAAAAAAATCGATATTTTTTTATTTTTTTCACTTTTAATTATTATTATTATTGTTTGCGTCAACCATTACGTCATGTAACGATGATGATGATGATGATAAAAAAAATTTTTTTCATTTTTTTCATTTTTATTAAAAAAATGTAAAAATGGGGCGGGAAAAAAAAGGAAAACAAAATTTTAACGTCTCGTTTTTTTTTTTTTTAGTCGATCGAAAGCTTTTTAATCGAATCAAAATTTATTAATAAAAAAATTTTTTTTTTTTTTTGACTCTGACGTTTAAAAAATTTATAAAAAAGGAAAAAAAGGAAAAAAAAAGGAAAAATATAATCAATAAATCACCAGCCTCTTATAAATAAAACATCAAAAAAAAAAAGTGAGAGATGGAAAGGATAACAAAAAAAAAAAAAAAATATGAAAAAGAGTGAAAGAGAGAGAAAGAGAGAGATAATAATGATAGAATAGAGAGGGAGAAAGTGGGGGGAGGGGTAATATATATGTGAAAAGGAAGAATAATAAAAACCTGATAAAAAAAAAAAAATTTTCCCCATTGAAATTTATGCGGCAATTGTCAAATCGATAAATCATATCAATCAACACATATCGATTGTCAACATAACGTTAATGATTCGTGTTTTATGTAAATAATTTATTTATTTATTAATTTTTAAATATTAATAAATAATAATAATAATAATAATAATAAATAATTAATGATTAACTTGCTTTTTGCGAACGTATAAATAAATAAGTTAAATTTAAATAACTCTTGTGTAAAAAAAAACAAAATAATAATAATAATTATTATTATTAACCTTATTAATTTTGACGTTTAATCAATCAAAAAAAAGTTAATAATAATAATAATAATAATAATAATAATAATAATTTGTTTTCCTTTTTTTTTTTTTAAATAAAATAAATCAATTTTTGACTTTTTTTTTCATTTTTTATTTTGCTCGGAACTAAATTACTCTACGGTATGTAAATAATAATAATAATAATAATAATAATAATATTTTAAGGGGGAAAAAATCTTTTGATGTTATTAATATTTATTTATTTTTAATAAAAATGAAAAAAAACTTTTATTTCCGGTTCGAATTTCAAAATTATATATATTATTTTTTCGAGGAAGAAGGTGCTGGGGTAGAGCTAGGGTGCGAGGGGGGAGGTTTTTTTTCCTCAAATTTAAAATTTATCCAAGGAGAAAAAGGAAAAGAAATCGATTTATTTAAATTTTGAAAAAAAAAAAAAAAAATTTATCAAGTTCGCTAACCTGACAAATAACTATTCATTAACAGGTCACTGAATTCGGAAAATTCTTTTTTTTTTTTTGTATGTCTTCTGCTAACAACGAACCACTTTATAAAATCGATATTTATTTATTTTTAAAAATTAAAATTTTTTTTAATAACTTATGTAAATTTAAAAAAAAGAAAATACGTTGATAATAATAATAATAATAATAATAATAATAATAATAATAATAATAATAATAATATTTGCTTTTTCCTTTGTTTGTTTTTTTACATTTTCAAAAAAAACGTAGAAAATTCATTATTATTATCGTCGTCGTTCTCGTCGTCAAACGGCCGCCATTTTTTTTTTTTTTTGTGAATTTTATATTAGTGCGGAAATAAGTTTTATTATTATTATTATTATTAATAAAAACAACAACGAAAAAAAAAAACAGAAAACAAAGAACAAAACCTTTTTTTTTTTTTCATCAAAATAATTAAAAAAAAAATTTTTTTTTTAAATTACAAAGGAAAAAAAACAATGGATAAACCTTTGACGATCCATTCACGTGTGGTCGACGGAATAAATTTTTTTTTTTTTTGTTATGTTTGCTAACGTTGTTAACAATATTTAACGGGTTTTTTTTT